TCTCTCGTTCCTTAAAAGAAACGCGTGGCCTAAAAACCAGAGCGTTAAGAGAGCAAAAATATTCCTGGCGAAGCGACTACACGATGAATACAGAACTAGCAATGATACGGATCTTATGCTCTTTAATACCCATCGTGGCAAGAGGCCAATTTTAATAATTATCAATAATCAGTTTTCGTAGAGGGGGGAAAACGATTATACGATTCGAGAAAAATGTTTTTAATTAAAACGTTTAGTAAATTTTTTTTCTGAGCAAACAACTTTAAAGCAGCATAATTGTAAAGAATTACTGTAAGAAATAGGGATACGCTTTTCGTAAATATTTAGGCAAGCTTTAAAGTGAACATTTCGAATTTAAATTGACTATTTAAAATGATAAAAACTTCTTAAAAATATTCTGGTAATTTTATTTTCTATTGTTCCAAAATTTCTAATAATAACTAAAAACTCAAAGATTAAGGATTATTTAAAGATTTTATTTTCACTTTTTCAACCTTATTGATTTTGAAAAATTTCGCTCAGATAATACGGCGCTTATCGAAAAATTTTCGACAAACGAAGCAGCGTCTCAGAAAACTCTAGCGGAAATCAAAGAGCTACGCTTCCGGCGATGCGTATCGAGCAACGACACGTTCTCGTGCCGCATCTCGAAAAGGCGCATCGAAACGCTTCTCAGCGAAATTCCGGTGTTCCCTCGCCTGTTCGCATTTGCATGCACGATCCTAATCTCGCACTGGTCTTTTTCTCCGGCCTGTAAGAGCGTTGGTTCATTCGCGATGCCTCGCGCTCGGGTGCATCGCACCGCGAAAAAAAAGTAAGAAAAATCGAGTAAAGAACGACGACGGGTTGCGTATCGGAACGTGAGGATCGATTCGAGATGTCTGGCTCGGAAATTCGTTGGAAAACTTATCACGTTTGCAGACTGCGATTTAATTGCACAGGTTGTGAAAGGACCCGCGAGATGCATAGACGGAGATCGAATCGAGCAGAAGCGACCGCATTGGCCACCGGCTGGCCGCGAGCATTTTGTTTGTAGAAGCCAGACACCTGTTTGTATCGAAACGTTCCCGAATGAATTCGAGAAAAGCGCAAATTATCGTCAATATTGACGGGTTGCATTATCTTATAAAACGTAACCGAAAACTAATTTCCATCATGCGATATTAGCTGAATCTAAATTATTTTGATATAAACTCTCTCATGCGCTTATGCAAAGTCCATAAATCGTATAATATACTTGCAAAGGTATTAGCATTGTTATTTTATTCCACGTTTATTAAATTACTCTGCACGAGAATGTAAATATAAATATTAGCATATTATTTTAAAATTTACTACGCCAGACATTTTAAAACGAATTTAGATAAGCTGAAAATTGAATAGTGCACTGAATGGCTAAGTTTTCACACAGAAACCATATGTGTTCGGGCCACCATGTGTGTCGTATCTTTTAGAATTTCAATCAACAATCAGAAGGATCCTGCACGTCGTTCTTATAAAAGAATTTTCTATAGAAACCCATGAAGAATTGCATTGCACTCGCAATTTACAGCGCCTTTTGTATCGTTATTCGTTTACTATGCAGGCCGAGTTTATAAAGCTCGATCGATAGAGTATGCGCAATACTTTGATGCACGTATTCTATGACGACGTGCCGCAGACGTCCTAACGGAATATTCGGTGCGATGCAAACATTCCAGCAGGCGCGATCTGCATCTCATATCCGATTGTATGATCCGACGCAGCATCGTATCTAGTTTGCACGTGAATTACATTACAAATGCAGTTACAGAGGTCAGTGCCTTTATATCACGTGCTCTTGTTTTATTTCCGCGTTAATAGCCTCAATGGCTATTACTATGGCGATAAACTCGAAACTGTTTCGATAATTATGGCGCGGTATGAGAGAAATTAGATATATCATTATACATATATCATTGGCAGTCTGCACGAGCGGTGAACGAAATGTGAACTATTTCAGCGTATTTAATTTAATGATTGATTGTTGTTATAAAATTAACAGCAGTGTCAACAAGAATTTTTTTGAAAACATTGCAATTAATTAAGTCGACGATACCAAGTCGACGGTTTGTGTCTGCCCTCTTTATTTCCTAACCGATTACGCCTTTATCCCCGATAGACCCGAGAGGTACCTGATACATTAACCTTCGCACGCGGATAATACTCGTCTTCCGTCGGTCGCGACGGGCGGAAAATTTCGGTTCGTTCAGGAGGAGGGAAGGGCACAAAACCAGCACCTTCGGTATTTAATAAACATTCCGTGAAGGCCGCAGTTTCACTGGAACGCAGGGTGGGGAGGGAAGGGGGAGAATTTGTCTTCCGCCCCCGGCCAGCTGCCTTTTTACACCGTATTTTCCTCGCGAAGGGAAAAGCCGCGCGGGCTTAAAATTTTCATTCGATTTCCGCGGGAAATCCGATCCGTCGCCGGCAACCGCGGGTATCCGGTCGCTAGGGGCTGCGAAATTAATTAAATCGTTAACTGCGAACGAGTTCGCCGTGGCCCGGGCCGATATATCCGGCACTCTTTTCGTCCTTTTCGCTTTTCCCCGCGGCTCGGATCACCCTCTGGGCTCCCTTGATCCTCAGGCCTCAGTATTTTTTTTCCTGTTTTTTTTTTCGGACATTTCGGTTGTACACGACCCTTGAATACGACTCGTTAAACGCAAAGGGTTGCAAACGCAAAGGGTTACATCGTTGTCACAGGGAGTTTTCATCCAGATGGGTTGAATTGGTACAGGAGGCAAATTCTCCGAGTAGAGGGTCACGTTTTAGGATTTACGACCAAAATTGGTATCACTAACATGGAATAACGTCAAAGTGATCGAGAATGAAACCGTGTATAATGATAGCATATTGGCGCGCGACATTAACGTACAATTTGTAAACAAATTTACCACGAAAAATATATTACTATTCTCATTGTGTAAATAAATCGTGAATATGTCGAGATTGTATTTCGAAGCGATATACTTTTTTGCCAGTATCTCTTACTATATTTTATCATAAAGCAAGCATTACAAAATTCAATCGTGGTATCATTTATCAGCATCGTAGGCTATAATTATTTGCACATAAAGCATATTGGTGATTTTCCCGAAACACGATCACGCGCAATCGTACCGTACGAATTTGATATTAACTTCTATGGATACATTGCGCGCACTATAAATCGACGTATGCTCGATTTCAATTCGCGCTAGTATGGCTGCGCGCAGCTTGAAACGCGGCATCATGTTCCTTTGATATCGGACAAATTGGATTGCAACATTTGACAGCGAGTCACAATTTTCACATATTAATGTTGGTTACGTATTTAGCCAGCTCTCTTATTAGAATTTGACCGGTGAGTTTGCAGAGCTTGGTATTAATACATTAGTTCACGTTATCGATACTCGGAAATATTAATTAATGTGACATCGGTCGCACTATTGAGCATCTAATACTTCTGATCTAATACTGACGCGGCATAATTATCAGCAGATACCCAAAAACAAATATAAGCTTATAATCTTCGTAAATCTATGCATGCGTGACACATGTACACACATCGTATCACAGACAAATCTCACAGAACAGGAAACTGTTATTTCGATTTTACAAACGCTTCGTAAATATTCACTTGCAAAGCATTATTTATACATAGAATAGCGCTAATTAAATTATATAACGATAGAATTTGTTTTTTCGCAATTAAATTCTCAATTAACAAAATGAGAAAAATTTGATACTGTGTATTCAGTTTAAATTTTCATCAATAAATAAATAACATTTATATTGCGCAATAATAATTACTGTAAAGTCTTGGAGCATTTTGTTCTGCCGATCGAGCAATATTCCCGGTGCATATCTATGCATCTCACGGAACTAACTGCAATACATTAACACCGAGAAGATTCACGAGAGAATTGAACACGCGTGACAGGGATGAGAGAAACGAGGCTAGACTTGAGAGATACACTCGAGTATTTTGCCGAGTCTATCCCCCGCGACGCCGAATTTACATAAGCGGCTTTCCTTCGCGGGCGGAGCTTTTCTCCCGGTCCTAAACAAATATTGACCAGGTCACCTTCTCCAGCGGCGGTACCGTCGTCAAATGGTCCATAGTTGACCACGGTCTGCATTATCCGTAAACGCTTATTAAACGGTGGGCGAGATGGGAAATCATGATGTCACTCGCGATCTCAGCTCGAGATGACGTGAGTCAAAGTTTAAGAACGGCGTTACATCGTCTCTCGTAAGAAGAACACTCGTTCCTTCGACTAATTGATACTCGTTGCTCGCGGCCAAGAATATTAAATGGCAATTGTTAACCTTTAAACTGGTAGGATATTAGTCGTTCCATGTCATGTCAATATGTCACGTTGATGATGATTGATTGTGAAACTATATTTACAGAAATTTTAAAATAAGTTGACTGATGAGTGTAAATAGCCAGACTAGTTACGAAATAGTTAGTTTTAAAAAAATGCTATTTTTATATTCATAAATTTCTACTAGTTTTGAATGTGATAAGTAAATTCTTATGACAAAATTTATTAAATTTTTACTAAGAGAGAAATTCAATTACAAAAGCCTATATCGCCTGAGTCATTCATAAATTCAAAATAAAACGCGTTATAATAAAATCGATTAAATGTAAACATTTATAAAAGGCGCGATAAGACTGGCAATGAGATGTGCATTTAATTTACCGACCACGTAATTTTACGCAGAATATATTACATATCCTTGCTAATGAGAATTGTATATATTAGCTGTTCGATTGTACGATTGGTCAGAGAAACATCTATGACTAATTGTCTGCAGTCGTACGTGAAGATGAATAATATCCATATTATCTATCTTCACATAGTAATGCGATGCTATTATTAAATCATGAAGATCGTATATCTTACAAATACGTATGTCTGCTTTTTACGCAATGACGTAATTTTGTTTAAAAAAAAACCACTAAGGAAAGCTTTGTTTTATTGTTGCAGAGCGTAAACTGTTTGTCGGCATGCTGTCAAAAAAGTTCACGGAGAACGACGTTAGAAACATGTTCAGCGCTTACGGGATGATCGAGGAATGCTCGGTGCTGAGGGACAGCACCGGGAAGAGTAAAGCCTGTGCCTTTGTTACCTTCGCTAGTAAACAGTACGCGATCAACGCCATCAAAGCTCTGCATCATTCCCAGACAATGGAGGTAAGTTTAATTGATTGAGCAAGTGTGTAAAGCCATATATAATGATCGTAACATTTTAGAATTTATTCTAAATCTCAAAATTACATGTGAACGAAAAATTAATCGTGGAATGATAAAACTGAACTATTAATTTCAGGCAATTAATGTTTTCGGCTTTAAATCAATTAAGAATTATGAATTTTAAATTGAGGTTACTAACTTAATTCGTTAAAAAATTAAAGTTACTAATGCTGACGATACAAATTACTAAATTGAGAGTTAGCGCGTAAAACACGGTAACTGCTTTCCAGGTTAACATTAGTAGTTCGCGTTCGACAACTTTGCTGCGGAACAAAACTCGGTTAATGATCGCAATAACGTTATCTGATATCCCACATGAGCCTCTCATCTATGGGCTAACTTCAAAATAATCGTAATAGTGAATTGATAGTGTACTGTAGTGTAACGATTCTCGCCGAAGAATGATTCAACTTTTGCAAGAATGTAACACACTTTACTTGTTTATTTGTTTTTTTCATAATTACCATTCGTCGATTTATTATTTCATAATGATTCTGTTCCGCTTCTTTTTATCATTAATTCTCTCGCGCCTGCATTTTTTGCAATTAATAAAAAAATAAGAGCACACAGTCTCGATTGTTTTCGAAAATAATGTATAATTGAATGAAAGCATGATCTGCTTTCTTGCGTTTAAATCGCAAGAAAAAACTGGGCCGCGAAGACTTGTCCGTTCATTTAAACGGAGAAAACGGCGTCGTAAAAGGACCGGCAGATAATGGCACAGATCGGATCGTTGAATCTTCGCGGCTCGTTTCTTTTCCTGGCGATTCAAGCAAGCCGTCGGATGTATTGGCTCCATGCCACTGTCACCCGACGAAACATCCGTGTGCATCTACTACTCGGCTAGTCACCTCGGTGATATACCGATTTAACTCGGAGTGACTAAAACCGAGCGAGAGTAAAGACGGCTGAACTGGCCGACACCTTGGCGATTCGAAGCTCGCCAGGACTTTTCCGTCTCCTCCCCCTCATCCATCAGACCCCCCAGCTTCCTAAGCTTCCGCAAATACTAGAATAGGTATGGACAGGTAAATGTTAGCTGTTATCGGATCTCCATTACGTTCGAAAATAGTAGAGTGTATTGCGAGATGTTAGTTTTATTAACGTTGTGCGTTAAAAATATAATTGTCCATTCTCTTCCTACGATCAATAAATCCGTTATATTATATATCCGTTATATTATCCTTTTTATTATATCGTGCAAGAATTATTTCTAGCGAAAAATGCTTTTTGGTTTTTCGAACTTTAATACGAAAAAAATTAATTTTTCCACAATATTCTACATTTTTATTTCATTAATATGAAGTGTTATATTTGGAGCAAATTACTAACGATTAATAATTCAGACATCTAAGTTTGATTCCTTATAGAATTTAAAAGATATTTTTCTTACACCATCAAACGCTTGTTAGTATACGAGATATTTGGAAAATAAGTGCAAAAGTTAATCTTTGCTCTTATTTTTCAGTTGATTGCAAAAAATGCAAGCGCGAGAAAATTAACGAAAGGATGAGAGACAGAATCATAAAATAATAAATTGATGAATTTAAAAAAAAAACAAATAAACAAGCGAAAAATCAGAAACGATTAAAATAAATAAAATTTACTTAATCATTACCAGTGCATAATAATGGGCAATTTCAAAAGTTGCACATTAACGGCCATTCGTATACGTAATTTTTATCAGCTTACACATTGATCACGCATTTAAATATTTAACAATATCAACAACCACCTCACGAAATACAGCTGTTTCTCTAGAATGGCTTACTTATCCTGGCAACAGTATGCCTAAGCAACGTACTATTTCGAATAGTAAAAGCGAGCCGTGCCAAGGCATGCGGGCACGAGGGCAATTCTACTTTAATATCACGAATATTTCCGGCTCCAGGTTCCTCGAATTTGCTCATTCGTCGCTACCGACGCAGCCGACACGCCGATTTCGCGTCTCCGATTGCACGCGTATTGTATACGGTTCACTGACCTCGCGAATCGCGTGCACGATCCGGCGTACCATCGAAGTACGAGTATTTCTTTCCCCCCAATGTAACGTCTAATCGCTAGAGAATCCGTTCTCACGCCAATGTTGAACTTGGACTTGAACCAATAAATGCATCGGACGAAGACATGCGGGATTCAGGTGTAAAACGAGATCTCAAAATAAAATATAACAGAAGTTCAAACTTAATGAGAATAATATCAGACTATGCAGAAATTTTTTAATAAATTAATATGATAAAGCAGGATATTATAATTGTGGGTAGATTTTGCAGAAGAAGTTGATGCAATTTTCAGCATATCGTTTTTTTTTCAAATTTCATGAATTTTGTTTTTAATTAAAGTAATTAATGTTATTCTGCAATTCGATAACAGAAATAAAGAAATGTGTTTTATATATACATACACAATCTACTTTTTTTTTTGTGTTTTTTTTTCCTTTGAATTGTAGCATGAGTATTGGTTGCTCTAATTCTGTGATATTCAATTACTAATACGATGGGGATAAAAATTTTACTCCTATCATGATGGGATCAATATCCATTTTGCGTCAGAATTCTTTCAATCAATCCCTTTTCTTATAGGTCACGGCATACATTATTAGAATAAGATTTAACACATTGATTCAAAATATGATCAGAGTTTATTATAAAATTTGATCGAACTATTTATTGTTGCGCGGTGCGCTTTTAAATTTTTATTTTAGAAAAGTTATATCGAGAATTAAATTTGTTTAAAAAACAAAAAATAAATATTATAAATATTGAAAAAAAAAATATATATATAATTCTGAACGGTCAACATGTTTTGAAATCAACAGCAAGTATTCAAATTTCAAGCACCGAGATATCGGATATCGCGATTGTAATATCAATCAATTGTTTTGTACATTTCGCATCTCATTTACGATAAACATATGTACAATTCTCAGGGCTGTTCGTCGCCGTTAGTCGTAAAATTTGCCGACACGCAAAAGGAAAAGGATCAGAAGAGGATGCAACAACTCCAGTCGAATCTCTGGAACATTGCGGGAGTCAACATCACGCCGCATTACCTGACCGTACGTGCACTTAATATTTTACAATAAAAGCTTTTTGGCCGGTATCAAAGATTCCATTTGCATCGAGAACGAGAATGCTCTTCATGGCGCTCTATTGTTTGAGCGCCTTACACTCGTATGCATTATCTAGCCTTTGAGACTTTCTGCACGACGACCTCAATTTTGTTATGCAAAATATGTATAAAAAAAGGACTGAGACTTTTTCGAAGACCCGTGGCCCATGTTCTTCGAACATATGCTGCATCCAATGCGGCTACCTGCACTAAAGCCTTTGTTTCTATTGAACGTTTCATGAGATTTGCATAAAATTTTACGAACGTATTCTCTGGCCAGCGTGCAATTAATCTTTCCTTGGTGAAAATTTTACGAAAAACCAGAGATCCAAAAGTGTGTATTCTACTGTAATATTCTAAACGTGAAGAAATTTAGATTTAATAATTATTTGAACGGGTTAGTTATAATTTTGGCAAACCAAAGTTAAGGCGAGGTATTCCGGACAATGCAAATGGAAATTGTGAAACTGATGCATGATATGAAGAATGATTTATATGACACAGCAACGATCGTAATTGGATGATGAAAATCACGTTTGTACTCGCAGAATGACGCGCATACCCTGGCACCTGCGTCGCTGCAGCTGTTGCAGCAGTTGCAAGCGACAACGAGTGCCGCGACTCCAGTTGCCGCGAATACAGGGGCCACGAATGCATTGTCGAATGTGCAACATCAGTTACTGTTACAACAACACCTTGGCCTTGGAGCGGCGACACCTGCGCATGCAGCGCCTCCCGCAGTGCCCAGTCCGGCGGAGATCAACCCTGCGAATCTACAAAGTCTAGCCACCCTCGCGTCTCTGAGCAATACCGCCGGTGAGTATGGTCAGTGTCAATTAGTTATTTTTTATTTTCGCGCTCATTCATCATGATAGAAATAATGTCATTTTTTATCTTCAATTGCGAAATTAATAAAATATTTCTTATTAATTGAATTCTTATCTTATTTCTATATGTTTCTCATATATGTGTACAGCTTCTTCGCTCTCGTTAAAATGATGTATTTTTTTATGATAAATTACTCACCGTATCGTTGCTCTGCTGTCGCCCGACGCCTCCTAGGCCTCCTCTTCCTCTCAGCGGACTTCCGGGGACACTCACACGCGTCCGCGGCGCACGCATTGCTCGCGCGCGTACCCGAATGCGAAAATCACGCGGCACTTTAATAAACAACACTCTCGACGCGTTTTTGTATGTTACGGAACGAATATATTTCGTAGCACCGAGATTACGCGCACAAAATTCATCTGTGAAATATAAATACATTTACATTACAATGTTATCTGAAACAATACTGTTATAGTTATATAAGTTATACGTATATAGACTTTCATAATTAACTCTGCATATAATTTCATAGAACATTTCGTAGAACATTTAAAATACATCTTATCTGTTCACTTGATTTTATACGCTGATTCTTTTGGAATTCTAACATTAGAATGACTGACGTATCCTTAAACTTATGCCTTTCAAACGTATGTACATGTATAACTTTATCGCGTCACCTTTTGACCCCATGCTCTATGCTAGTTCGCCACTTGCCTACTTATAGGAGGTCTATTTTCACAAATGAGGTAAAAACGTGAATCTTGCGGACGAGTTTAAATATATAATTTCTTTTGGGAAATAATCCGTTTTTATCGAGAAGTGTGTCAGACGCGCTATTATTCCGACGAAAAGCGCTATAGAATACGATCGATCCACTTTTGCCAGCAAAATGAGATTTTATTCGTTTCTTCTAAAATTACTCGTCTGCGCATTCATATCGGTGTCAGAATAAATTATATTATTTCACGCTTACGTTCTCTAACTTCCGCCATGTATGATCGCGTCCCACAAGTCGTATCTTCTCGAAAGTTATAACGAAACGTCTTGTACCAGTTTATATAATAATAATAAAATTCTACATTTAATGAGATCGGGAAAAACGCCAGTACACGATGATACACTGCTCTATACGCCTCTATCATTAATATTCTTCTGAAACATGTGTTTATTGTTCATTGTTGCGGAACGCATTGTCATTCAATGACGTTTTAGTGTCACGCAATGAGTTCACATATATGCGAATTAAGCGCAGAATGAAGTATCGCCTACTAATATGAAATCGAGTTTAAAATTTAGATTAGATAAATTAATAATTTTGAAGCAGTATCTTAAATAATAATCGAGCTTAAGAGTAATATTATTATAAATAATATTCTACTCTAATATATTAATATTCTTAATGCCACCAAATCATAAAAAAAAAGAAAAAAATTTTTTATGTATGTTTGTATGTAAATTACATTACTTCAGCCTTTGTTTTTTATTATATTGTTGTAGTCTTTTTGTTATATGTTATATTGTTCAGAAATCATCACATCTTAAGAATTAGTATATCTTTACGATAGATTGAAATATCTCTACAATTAAGTCTGACGGATTATGTTACAGCGAACGCGGGCGTGTCGCCGATGAGTATGCAGAATCTCGTCACCCTGGCAGCTATGACGGGCGGAAATGGCAACCTCCAGGTGTCGCCAAACAGTGAGTAGAGAATATTTCGCGGGGTACACAATCAGAGAACACGTTATCGTACATTGACGTGCAGCTGTAAGTTCCGTGCGGAACTGTCCGGCGCTTCAAATTATATGCGTAACTTCACGCTATACTCCTTCCGCCAATTGTACAAAACACCCATATGCTTATGCCTCACGTACGTTACTCGCGTCGTAGACGGTAAATCCGCTTCTGCACAATCGGACTTTAATGATCGCATGCGTTGTTGAAGTTCCAGGCGAACGGGTGAATTGTCTATGCTTTTGTAGGTATGCATGGAAAACCAGCCAAAGTCGTGTCGTGATTACGGCGACAGTAATAATGCGACGGCATGACTATACGTGTTCTCACAAAGTATATTAACAGACTTTAATTGTAATACGACAATGAAAGCAAGGTGTTCCAGGACATTTGCGCATCACAGCACAGCAATCGTAAACAATGCATGCTGGAAGTCAGTCGAGAGAAAGAATCTGTGTTCAATTCTAGTTTTATTAGTCGTATTGCAAAACAGGAGATTTTATAATATTTATTCGAAAAATGCTATAGCTAATATTTCCACTATATTTCGACAAAATTACTGGCCGTTTTGTGATTTTTATCAATTGTCCCGCAACTATTCTTTCAGTGCAATGGCTTTTAAATTGTTACGATGTTTTAAGTTCAGACTGACTTCTGAAACACATCCTTTTTGTTTGCAGATTGCTTTAGGAAAAATGC